GGAGAGATTCCTTAGTGGAGCCAAACTACCCCTCTTGAACCCGGCTTGTATACACTCCCACGTATTGATCAAACAAACATTTTCTTCTCCTCTTCTTGCTCACAACCGACCCAAGTTAGAGAGTGAGAGAGAGTTGAGTTGTTCTTGAGAGATTTGCTTGATCTTGCTTGGAATTGAAGTGTTGATTGCTACTTTGAGCTCCTAGACCTTGAACACAAGACTAAGGTAGGACATTCATCTTCTTGTTGTTGTCTTAGAATCCATTCTTGCACAATTCATGCTTTAATTGTAGAGTTAAGCCAGTTTTTGGTCCATTAATGGTGAATTGAAGCTCAATCTTTTTGCATGCACGTTAGTATTTTGGATTTTGAGTTGAGTTCATGGCAAAATATTCATGCATGTTCACAACTATGTTAAGTTCATGATTTCATCATGTTTTGGAAACAATTGGCTCCTTAGAGCATCAATTGGAGCTTCAAAATGATTTGAATTCATGCATGTTGCATGTTCATATTGTTATGAAATTGGTTTGAAATTGGGTTTGAATGAAACACCCTTGGGCTTGATTTCCAAATTGAGTTTTGAATCATGTTTAACTATGAGTTTACATGTGTTTTCTGGAAATTTAGCCCAAGAGGTCGAGTTTTTTGATGCTTTTGAACTTGGTTTTGAGCTTTGGAGGTGCAATCTGGGTTTTCCAGATTTCGCACTTCCGCTCGAGTCGGGAGAAGTGACGCTCGAGCGTGGAATTCGAGCAATCCACATCCTCCTTTGCAAACGTTTTGCAGTACGCTCGAGCGGGAAAGTTACGCTCGAGCGTGTACCTTTGTTGCATGTCCGCTCGAGCGGGGAACCTGAGCTCGAGCAGGACTCTGGTTTTTCTGAAACATACTTTTAAATGTGCATCTTTGCATCCTCATCCCATTCTTGGCATTCTTAGGCCTAGTTAAGACATCTTAATGAGGATATAGATGTAGAACACACCGAGGTAAATTTAGGGATTTAATTATTACCTTTCCCCATCTGTGAAACTTAGAGTGTGTTCAATCTGTTAACTGTTTAGGGTTGGCATTTGGAGGAGACGCTCTAGCCTACTGTAGCCAATCTGTGAGTAACAATTGTGTAAAGATATGTTTCAACTGATTATCTTTGAATACTGAAATGAACTGTTTACTGAACTGGTATTACTGAATGAATGTATGTCCTTTATTTCTGAACTGTATTGTGGCATCCTTAGCAACAACTGTTACTGACTGTTACTGTTACAGAGATCTCTGTCGGTTCCCTTGTGGAGCCACTACTGTTTACTGACTGATGGCCATCATTACTGTTCGGTCTTTTAAGACCTACTGTTACTGCTATCTAATGATGTACCACATATGACTGTTTACTGTACTGAACAACTGAAATACTGATTGAAATGAACTGTTTTCATTACTGAAGGACATTTCATTCTAAACCCTTTACGCTTTATGTTATTCACTGGGCTTTAGCTCACTGCTCATATATATATGTAGGTGTTCAGGCACCAGACCGCAGCTAGGAGCGTCAGGGTCACTCCAGTTTTGTCAAGCCAGCCTATGTTGCCCACTGCGAGGTTCCGAGCCTAACTGTTAAGGCTTAGGGTGTTGTTTTTAGATTTTCCCCTTCTGTACTGTCTTACTGTTCTGTATAGACTGAATGTTTATTGTACTGTTATGCAGGGATTAAGTCCCTAATCTGAATGATTGTAAATATTGTGCATACTGTTCTGTACCGTTTATGTATGAATGTATGAAAAATCTTTTTGCATACAGACTTGTCATACATTATCGGTAATCAATCAGTCATTAATCAGTAAACAGTATGAGGGTTGTTACACA